ATGTCATCATTGGGAGGAGAGGGGGATAATACCAGTACGCTGAGAAACGGGCACTGTTGATTTGAGTATTCGACTATGCGAGTGCCAACAAATATAGTTCAAGAGCGGGCCCGCTTTTGTAAGGACAACGCCTGATAAAGGACTACAACATTATCAAAACTCTGATCGGTTTTTAACACGCTTAATTTTGGCTCAGGAGCTGCACTTTTTCGCAGTAGCGATTGGCATCTCAATTGATTTGTTGGAAGAGAGGAAGTGTTGATTAGAATGCGTTCTATGACTTCATTCATAAAATTAAGTGTATTACGGTTACGAATCAATTCATTGAAATTCATTGACGGGATTCGTCATTTTGTTATTTCTCAGTATTAAAAACAAACATAACTATATTTCAGCGTTGCGAACTTTCTACTAGCAAAAATGAACTTTTGGATCAAGTAGTGGCATCTGATGAGACGTGCCAAAAATTGTCATAGGAATTCAACGAGATGCTTGGCATGTGATGCCGCCGCCCCTCCCTTCAAACTAATATTTCTGGCTCAATTTTGAAACAACGTATGTACCACCAGTTTCCGAATGCACGTAAGGGGTTATACAGATGAGCAAGAAATTAGATTTCCTGGTTGCAAAATGTAGTTCAATTTATCAGAAATGTATTTTTGTGATTAAAAGAAAGCTATTGACACCTGGGAAAAGAGAATCCGGAAAGAGGATTTGTTAAGGTCATTTGGACGTATTTCTGCCAAACGGAACTATGTGCATTACGACGCGAGCCAGGGCTCATTGAGCCCTGTTATCAGTGGCGTGGCGTGCTTCGATATATATCGATATTTCCCCATTTAAAACTATGGTAAAGAATCGATTATTAAGGCGTTCGTTGCGAACACCCTGATAATAATCGATCCTTGTCTATAACTTTAAATGACAGATCAATCGATACATTCGAGCTCATGTCTTAATGCACATAGTTCCGTTCGGTAGAAATACGTTCATTTCTAGGAATGGCCTAAAAGGGATTTTTATTGCTGAGAATCACTGAAACAGCTCGAAAAATTTTGATCAAAATTTCGATTTTGAACCACAATGAAAATGTTCGACTTTTTAAAAAGAATTGGGCGGGGGCTGATTGCGGTTAAGTTTGTATTATCAATGGGGGTGTAAAATCTAAAGTAAACTTTAAGTTTAGTGGGGGGGAGACGAGAATTTTGAGAAATTTTTTCTCTCCAAAAAATGAAAATTTCGAATTTTCAAAAATGACGTAGAATTTTCTAATATTTTTTTCTCGCTCGGTGCTTATAAAAATTATAAAGATAACAAATAAAAAACATTTTTTACAGGATTCCCGTCCCAGGATGGTACCTCTGATACATCCTATGCCGCCTTATATTTTTTACGCAAAAATTATAAGGACCGAACAGCTGATACTCCTCATTTTTGAGCATCGAGCGGCGCGCGACAGACGTGAATCGGGAACGTCTTGAGGCGGGATGTTTCCACTAATGTCTTTAAATAATCTATCCGCTATCAGATTTGAGGTTAACACGCCCAAAATTTACGACCGAGATAGCGAAAACCAGGAACTCAAGCGGAATAGTTTAAGTTCATGTTCAAATTTAGTGACACTTGTATTTTGTAATGTGCGCGATCCCGACGCTACACCAGTAAGTACACTGAATTCGTTTACACTTTCGCAATCACCTACCTCATAAAATCTAATATTAAGCTCCAGCATGCTATTTACGTGCAATTCAGACTCCTTAAATTGTCATTGGCGCAATTGGGCATGAACAGTGATTTTTTTATCTAACGTTAAATTGATAAAGGCCNGGGGGGGGGGGGGGGTCTGGAGGACATCCAAAGGCCCCAGAGGAATCCATCAGGCGAAGACCACGTAAAAATGTTCAAACTTGAGAGGCTCTAATTCGTGGACTATACATCTAAACTCTAAAAATAAAGGGCAAAATAAAGTAAAGAGATTTCACAAGTTTTCTCTTTTTTGCCGGAAGCTATTCTTTTTGCACTTCAAAGAAATCATTGGAGTGTCTACAGATTAAATATCACACTATGTTCCTAATATAATATCCATTGTAGGTACTTGCTACCCGTTTAAAACGATTGAACCAACTAGTTCATTCGATTAGATTGACCCTAGAAAAAATAAAACATGCGAGCATTTTAATTAGCCATTTTAGCAACGCGCTATAGTCCCCATTATCATACATATATCAAATTAAAAGCATATGAACCGTTACCTTTTTGAGCTCAGCACAAAATGTATAGTGGAAAACTGTAAAAACATGTACCTATTTTCGCCAATTTTTGCCATCAGACCCAAAGTACCTCCATTTGAAGGCTAAGAAATGCAAGCATTGTTAAAACTCAATTATTTTTTTACGTCCATTTCGTCAACAGCAAAATATTGAGACAAATCGGAATTCTGTGCGGTTGGGCCGATTTTGGATCTCATTGATATTCCTGGCATTTTTTTCACTTCCGGAGAATCTCCGGAGAAAACAGTAGAACAAGGCATTGGGAGAGGTCAGACGTGAAATTTTTAACTAAAATTGGAAATTTTGATGTTTATTTCGTCACATATTAAGATTGGAGGGGTGTTTCTTGCAGTAAATTATAATTTTACGAGAAAATGAATAAAACCTCTTTCAAGATTTCTGAACTTGATTTTAAGAATATATAAGCTTTAAGTATTTTCACCTGACGTGAAACTTTTTAAAGACCCATTCTACTGTGCGGCCCCCTCTAGTAACCGATCGAATTATGAGGCAACTGACGAGCGCATAGAGGACAGGAGGACGCACAATTGCAGTTTTCGCTTCTCCAAGAAATACCTACGTGTTAAAAGCCTCAAAATTATGTGAAGCTTTTGGAAATGGAAATTATGTAAAGGAAATTCAAACTCTTTTTCCCATGCTTTATAATTGGGTTTTAAAAGTAAAATTTTCACAGAATATATTTTGAGACTAGTTTTAGTTGCAATACTTAATATCTCATTTTTATAAAAAAAAAAAAAAAAAAAAAAAAAAAAAAAAAAAAAAAAAAAAAAGTATCCTTCCGCCTTGCAGTGTCCTTCAAGCCCTCAAAATCGTAAAGTCATATGTTTGAGGGGCTTGGAGGACAAGGCGTATGAGTGCAGTTTTTGATATTCCAGGAAATACGTGTTTAAAGTTTCAAAATTACATGCGATCCCTTGCAGTGGACAGGAAGTTTAAACTCACTTTTTGATGCTTTAAAGTTGGATTCTGATTCTGAATTTTCATAGAATATGCTTTCAAACTAGTTTTAGTTGAGCTCATGAATATCTCAATTTTTTTAAAAACTGCACTTATGCGCCTCCCTCTAACCCGCTCATTTGAGATTAAAATTTTAATCAAGTTTCTGTACTTTTGCATCTTCTTAAATTAAAATTTATTAATTTCGTTAAGTTATAATTTTTTAGTTTAATTTCTCTTGTTCTCAATACTTGTCCTCTAAAAAATTTGGCAAAAAACTCCAACATATTGGATTTTAGTTGTGGATTTTTCACAGAATATACATGCAAACTAGTTTTAGTTGAGTTCATGAATATCTCATTTTTTTTTTCAAAAACTGCACGTATGCATGCGCCTCCTTACAAGCTCCTCATTTAAGGTTAACATTTTAATCTAATTTCATTTAATTACAATTATTTCCTTTAATTTCTCTTGTTCTCAATACTTATCCTCTAATAAAAATGTCCGTCACATGCCGTGTCTCTCAGGTTAAAGCCGCATGGACGCATCAAAAGATGACAAGGAAGCGAAGGCTGCGGTACCCGGAGCACCCCCTCCGCTGGCGGTGCCCCCTGGCGGACAAGTGGGGCACCAGTCGGAGCGGCGTTCCGCCAAACGAATCAGCGTCCTCTCGGCGCCGGACAAGCTCCTCGAGCCGGGCAAGTCCTTCGGGATCACCCTCTACGAGCTCAAGGTCCTCATGGGGAACTACGGGCGGCGCAGCGTCAAGGCCCTCTACGAACTCGGAGGGATCGAGGTTCTTTGCGCCCGCCTCCGCACTGACTCCGCTGAGGGACTTAAGGTAAGTAAGACATTAAAATGGAGATGTTGCATGCGTGAGAAATTTGCGATTTGACTGTTGATTCTTATGTAAAAGTTCGTGAGAAACACGATGGTGCCACTGGTTTCCTCTGAAATTAACACTCAAGCTCAAAAAAAGCTCTCAAATTGAGGCAAAAATGGAGGGGATATCCCACGCTACCCTGAGAGTCCACCTCTGCATCAATACAAACTCTCCATGCGAAGATAGGGAGCAAATACATTAGCAGGGTCGCCGTGTTTTCAGTTTTAGAGTCCCCAAATAAGGTGGCAGCCCTGTCAATGTATTTGCTCCCTATCTTTGCATGGAGAGTTTGTCTTGATGTAGAGGTGGACTCTCGGGATAGCGTGGGATATCCCCTCCATTTTGGCCTCAACTTGAGAGCTGTTTTTGAGCTTGGGAGTTGATTTCAAGGAAACCAGTGGCACCATCGTGTTTCTCGCGAACTTTTACATAAGAATCAACAGTCAAATCGCAAATTCCTCACACATGCAACATCTCAATTGGACGTGTTTATGCTAAAAGGAACTATAATGCTATATGTGCATAGGGTTTGCGTGTGGCATTGTTCCTTTTATCGTAAATCAAAAAGTATTTCTTGCTTTGATTCAATTTAATACTTCAGCATAAAAATAAAGCTGAAAACCATTTGTTGCTTTCATGCAACGCTATACAATAAAGGGTTAAACAAGTGGTTAGAAATGGAAACAAAATAATATGAACTATGCAAAACGATAATCCGGGTATCTGAACTTGGCTGATTTGAAAACGCCTTCAAATGCGGCGAGATACCTCACGCATTCCGGAGAGTTCAAATAGTTGTATCATTGCGCCTTAGAAATGCGACGGAAGATTACAATTTAAATAGACTTCATGCACGCCGGCCTTTTCGATTTCCGTTAACATTTTTGCAGTCATGAATGCGCTTAAGTGCGCTTCAGCTAGAATTGTATTTACAAATGGGTGGTTTTTCTACGAGGTTTAAAAATAATCGAGCGGTACGGAATATAACAGAAGAGAATGAACCATGCAAAACGATAATCCGAGTATCGGAACTAAACTGTTTGTAAAACGCCTTCAAATGCGGCGTGATACCTCACGCATTCCGGAGAGTTCAAATAGTTGTATCATTGCGCCGTATGAATGTGACGGAAGATTTAAATGGAAATAGCCTTCATCGGCGGTAAAATACAGGCAAGAAGCCTACGGCAAGGCAAGGTATACGGGCGGCAAGTAAGTAAATCCGGCCCTGTTCGTAACTAACATTATAAAAAACGCCTATAAAATACAGCGTGTTTGACGCTTGTGGGCCGATTATTGGAATTGATAAACAAAGCTTTAGCCACTGAGTAGGTACATACAACTCACTCCCGGATTCATTTCCTACATTTCCTCTCACATTCCGTTTGATCCCTGGCATGCCCCTTTCTGCCCAGGCCGGTCCATACCAGTTTGTAAATTTTGCAACCGTTGATGGTGATTTCTTTCTACCTGTTTGTGACATACCCACTTTAAGCTCAAAAACGGAAGCCACTCAGAAATGAGGAGCTTGGAGGACAAAGCTAATGAGTGTAGTTTTTGCTATTTCGAGAAATACGCGTTTAAAGTTTTGAAATTACATGAAGCCTTATGGCGGAAAGGAAGTTCAAATTGACTTTTCGATGCTTAAAATTTGGAATTTGGTGGCGAATGTTTCACAGAAATGCATTAAGTCTTATTTCACTCAAAATCATAAATATCTCAATTTTTTTTTCAAAAACTGCAGGTTTGCGCCTTGTCCTCCAAGCCCCTTAATTGAATGTGATAACTCTCTCTGACTCTGCATACTGAGCTAACAACTGGACTACATTTTGCGACTGGGAACTACAATTTATGTCTTATCTGTAAAAACACTCAAATGCATAGGAAAAACAATGGCACGCACGTTATCTCTGAACTGAGGCAGAAATTGAAGTTTCTAATTGAAAATTGTAGCCCAAAATTGAAGTTTTGGGTGCAAAAAGGGCATTTCTTGATTACAGCGTCTCAAAATTTCCGCTAAACGTTTCACTCATTATAATTGAAGCAAATGTATGTCATTTGTTGTAACCTTTACTGAATATTCTTTATATTTTTACAGTGCTGAAGGTATGAAATTTAAGAAAATTTACTCAATGGTTTCCTCTCTAAAATTAAAATTAGCACTGGAGCTTCTGAACCACCTTGACTAAAAATTGCCTGTTTTGCACCCAATGTCTCGATTTAGTCCAATTAAACATCGATAGTGTAAGTCGGCAATCACATAACTCGTTTGCGGTGTCTGAAAATCTCCGCCTCCAAGTCCTTTTTTTAAAGGAGAACAAATTGACATCATTCCTTGAAGTTTGTGCAGAATTTTCCTCGCACAGAGAAGAAAAATTAAGGCAGTTTTAAAGAATTGCCGTTGAGTAGTTTTCCGTTTAAAAAATAAAATATGACAGGAAGTCTACGACCTCGCAAACCGAGTTATTTGATTGCCGACTTGCACCGTCGATATGTTCAATGAGACCTCCTTCCCACCCTCAGGACACAGAGCAGCTGCTGAAGTTACGGAAGGAGTTCTTCGGATCGAACCAACTCCCCACCGAGGAGCCGATCCCGTTCAGGGTGTTCCTGCTGGAGGCCATGAAGGACTACGTGCTCTACATGCTCACCTTTGTGGCGGCCTTGTCTATGGTCACGTTCATAATCAAGAGCTCCATGGGTCACGCTGGACACGAGTGGGTCGACGGCCTCGCAATCTTCTTCTGCGTCGTCGCAACCTCCCTCACCAATGCCGTCAACGACTACTCCAGGCACCGCAAGTTCCGATCCTTGAAAACCAGGTAAGGCTCCCTGGGGGTCGATTTTTGAAATTGATAGGCAAAGCTATAGACAAAGAGGACAAAAGGGATATTGAGGGATCCTATTGGATGAAAGCGGGTGGTTTCAATGGACAAAGGAGGTAGGTAATTAACTAACTTACGGCAATCCAGGAGAGACCCCCATAATTTTCTCCCCTAGTCCATAGGAGCCACACATTTCAACCAATAGGATCGCTCCATACTCCCTAGGTCTCTTTTGTCTATTAATTTCAAAAATTCGTCCGCTGGTCCCCGAGAAGTACTGAAGACAAAAATATTGAAATAATTGTGCATCTTAATGCAATAATACTGCATTCTTATACTTAACTTTGCCAAGAAATGCCGATTTTATACGATTGATGAAATGAGTTGCTTGTGTGAGGAAGGACTAAGGGTTTGAAGAGGAGCCCTTTCAATTAGTGAATAGATAACTTGTATAACTCCCCGAGACAATAGCAAGAATACATTTTACTGTGTACTTGCAATTTACTGCAACCTGTGTTAGATACTTGGGCCTTGGGCCCTCCTAGGTTTGTTATATTTATTGATTGTTTGTCTCTCGACTGGAAAAAACTCAATGGCCTTTCATCAAAAAATAAGAGATGGGATGAAGTTAATATAATTTTCTGCTGTTAGTTTGAAAAGGAGAGTTCGACAGTTAAACTGCGGAGACGTTTTTCTCGGTTTGCAATGCTGCAGATTTCATTGAGTGGATGGGAACAGAGGCGGATTCAGCAATTTGGCAACACTGGATTTCTTCCATTAAAACCTAAATAATCGATTTTTATCGGAACACCTGGCCCCTCCAAGAATCGATACATTTCCATGTGTTTAAATGAAGGAAAGACAATGCTGCCGATTTGCTGGATCCGCCAATCGGAACTAATCATGATTTAATCACTAAATGGAAAACAAAATCTCAACGACATTTACTAAAAACTTACATCGTTAAGGACGCAAATTACGACTTGAATATTCAACACAAAATTTTTTTCAAAAGAAACCGTATAGCAAAGATAACTGAAATTCAATTTAGGAATGAGTTCCGCGAGGAAATATTCGAATTCCAATGTTGCCAGAATTCCAGGGACCATGTCCCATCGTTGCATTTCTATTCCCACGATTTCAGCTTCAAAATTCTAATCCGATGTTGTTTCTCGGCAGGCTAGTTCACGATAAAGAGTTCTCTGTCGTGCGAAACGACTCGGCGCAGCAGATCCCTGTCGAGGAGATCCTGGTGGGCGACGTGTGTTTGCTGAAGGCCGGAGATCGGATCCCGGCGGACGGGGTTCTCATCCAAGGGACCCACCTCACCATCGACGAGTCGGCCATGACAGGGATCTCCGATTCCGTCAAGAAGGACGAGAGAAGGGACGTCTTCCTGCTCTCTGGCACTCACGTCATGAACGGCATAGGTACCTCATCCCATAATATACGTATGAGCCAGTGGCGTGGCGTGCTTTGCGATATATCAATTGATCGGCCGTTTAAACCTATGGAAAAGTATCGATAAACAGGGCGTTTGCAGCGAACACCTTAATAATCGATTATTTACCACAGCTTTAAATGGGGAAATATCGATGGATCGCAAAGCACGCCACGTCGCACTGGTATGAGCTTTCTCTTAGAGGAAGAAAAAAAACTTGGCTGTTTTATACTGCCGTGCTAAGGAAGAACGCCGTATGAACTTTCGAGAGTTGCCAAATTTCTCTTGATAACTCGTGTATTTTTGACAACATTCATGCATATTTTTCCTTGAAATTTGCAGATGTTTTCGATTAAATTGCGTTCAAAATTGTCTGGAAATTTTGAACAAATGTTCGCAATTTCCCCAGTAAAGTTGGTTTTTATCGGAGGAAACATGGCAACGTCTGAAGGCTCATACGGCGTTCTTCCTTAGCACGGCAGTATAGACGTCTTGAAAATGGGAGGATTGTAAAGGAATGAATTTTCTGGCAAAGGTTGTTCCGTTTGCCATTGAAACTGGGCCCAGAATGAAATCTCCTCATCTTTTCAGGCCTTCCAAGGGCATGGTCTGAGACACCCAAATATGGATGAATTTCTCTCAAAGTCAAAGTGGGAGGGGGGCGGAGGGTCAAACAAAAAACAGTTTTTTTTTCTTAAAACTTTTGAGCGGTTTAAAATATCGATTGAACTTTTTTCAAATGAAAGGTCTTTGAGCTTTTTTTGGTATATAATGTTCAATAGTTAGAAATATTTTCAAATAGTTAGAAAGCACGATTCCATAACTATCGCAACTGCCCATTCTCGGCCTCTGAGCCCGGGACGGTTGGTCGGTACATGTCTACACTGTCATGCTAAAGAAGAACGCCGTCAAATTTCTTCTGACAAATCACTAATTTTCAGGAAAATTTTTGAATATTTTCCCGCCAATTTCTCAGATAATTTTGTTTGTAATTTGTCCTAAAGTGTCTGAAAATTTCTCGGGGAAATATTTATATTTTTCCTCAAAAATAAACATTTTAGCCAAGGAAATTGGCAACTCTCGAATGTTCATCCGGCGTTTTCCCTAAGTACGGAAGTAAACAGCCCGTCAGTACAGATTCCGCGGCCGGAGTTTTCTCGGAAATTTCCCGGAAGATTTCTCGGAGAAATATTCATATTTTTCCTCAAAAATAAAAATTTAAGCCAAGGAAATTTGGCAACTCTCGAATGTTCATGCGGCGTTTTTCCTTGGTATGGAAGTACATCGCCCCGTGAGTACAGATTCCGCGGCCGGAGTTTTCTCGGAAATTTCTCGGAAAATTTATCGGAAAAATATTCATTTTTTCCCGCAAAAATAAACATTTTAGTCAAGGAAATTTGGCAACTCTCGAATGTTCATGCGGCGTTTTTCCCTTAGTACGGAAGTATACAACCCGTCAGTACATATTCCGCGGCCGGAGTTTTCTCGGAAATTTCCCGGAAAATTTCTCAGAAAAATATTCATTTTTTCCGCAAAAATAAACATTTTAGCCCAGGAAATTTGGCAACTCTCGAATGTTCATCCGGCGTTTTTCCTTAGTACGGAAGTATACAGCCCGCAAGCACAGCTTCCGCGGCCAAAGTTTTTTTTTCTTTTTTTTCCTTTTTTTTTGAGTGCCATGGCGCTTGACGACTGATCCCTCCTTTCCCTCAGGCAGAATGGTGGTGACAGGCGTGGGCGTGAACTCCCAGGCGGGGATCCACCTGCTGGCAGAGTGGCACGAGGAGAACATATTCCGTCGGCACGTGGACGCGACGTCGCTGGCCCACCAGTCGTCCACGGTCTCGGACCACATGTTCCCGGCGGAGCGGCCGATGAACGAGAACCTGGACCACGACTCCTACCTCCAGAAGAAGCTCTCCCTGGTCGCCGTCAAGATCAGCTACGTCGCCACCGCCCTCGCCGTAGTCGTCACCCTCATCCTAATCCTCCGCTTCACGGCCACGCAGTACTCCTTCAACGACGACCGATTCGAGGTCGTCTCTTTCCTCGGATACACCATGCACTTCATTTTCATCGGGGTGAGTTCCGCTCTTGTTATTCCTCTACTCAGAAGTAGGGATGCGGAAGAGAACCGGAGATCAGAGGTGGATCCAGCTATTCGGCAACACCTGATTTTCTCCATTTAAACCTATGTTAAATAATCGATTCTTGTCGGAGCACCTACCCCCTCCAAGAATCGATACATTTCCATAGGTTTAAATGGAGGAAAGACAATGTTGCCAATTTTCTGGATCCGCCAATGCCGGAGATGCATTTTGGAATTGTTTCTGACTCATGGGCGGAACGAGAAATTTATTGTGGGGATACTTAGAGGGGAGCACACAATGAGTCAGTTGTGCTGGTCACAAAATCGTGTTTTGACGCTTGATTCTTGTAGGTCAGCTAAAAGTAATAGGATCTCTCCAAACAGCAACTTTCTACGTCCAGTATTAACCGAGATATGGCCCTTTTGACGTTTTTGACGTCATTCACCGCAGTAGTGACATCCGCGTGGTTCCTTCCACCTTGCTTTTATCAGTTCGTCATATACGTCATAATGTATGTACATAGTTCCGTTTGACAGAAATACGTCCAATTTTAAGCTGTTCATATTCAATGCAATTTCACACACGCGCAACTGGCACACTTGTGCGGTTTCGATAAATTATGTTTCCTTTCAATATTACAATAAGTGTTTTTGATGCAAGCGTGAAATCTCTTTTCAGAGGGGGGAGATAGAACGAAAATTACCTGGCATAAATGCAATTTCCGATTTCTATGATGCTTTTCGAACTCCATGAAAATTCAGCAACTAAGATTCTTCCGATCGCAAAAGCATAAAATTCAGTGAGATGTTTATGCAGGGGCGAAAAATTCACAATCTTTGGAAAGGAAGGGGATTTTGAGACACCACACGCTCATTTTCAGCCAAAAAATCGATTAAATTAGTAAAAAATTGAGTTGCATGCTTGATATAATTCTTATGAGGTCATCGTTAAATTTTTAGTATACTTTTTGTTTTGATGTTGAAACTGAGTACCTAAGATGGCTCCAAACGTCGTGCTTTGTAGTGATTTTAAATTCTAAACCTCGTTAATTTATATTTTTAGAAAAACGTTGAATTTGCCAGTATTATAATAATAATAATAATGCAATTACTCACGAGCATCCTGGCTTCGTTTGTGAAAATTCATGGCAGGCAATCGATCAACAATAGTTTCGCGAGGGCAATCGATGGATTTTTTAGTGTTTTTAATATTTTAGCGGTAATTTCGGCACTAAAGAAGCTCCATGTGGGGGGGAGGGGGACGCGCGTCTACCATGAATTTTCAGAAAGAAAGCCAGTAGGCTCGTGAGTAATTGCATTATATTTTTAAATTTTGCTCTTTCGGAACCTTGTTCTTGGACCAAGCACGTCATTTATGCATCTCTGTTCCTGTAGGTCTCAATACTCCTGGTGGCCATCCCGGAAGGCTTACCGATGTCGATAGCCATCGGCCTGACGTACACGGTGAAGCAGATGCTGAAAGACAACTGCTTGGTGCGGCACATCAACGCCTGCGAGAAGATGGGCAACGCCACCTCGATCTGCTGCGACAAGACGGGAGTCCTCACCACGAATCGCATGGCCGTCGTCCAAGCCTTCATTAGCCAGGTCCCGTGGCGGACCATCCCCCAGTTCGAGCTTCTCCCCAAAACCGTCGGCGAGCTCATCGTCGAGTCTATCGCTTACAATTGCTCTTACATCTCAAATGTAATTCCCAGTGACAGGTAATTAAGCGTTTTTCGGACAAACAAAAACAAGGACATCTTAAGGTGATCAGCTTGGAGAATCAAGCAGTGAGGGACCGATCGTAAATTGGACTACATTTTGCAATTTGGAACCATAAATTCTAGCCCGGTTTAAAAACAACGTATGTGCCACTAGTTTCCCCTATGCACGTAAGTGTTTTTCCGGAAGAGCCAGAATTTATAGTTCCAAATTGCAAAATGCAGTCCAATAATTAAAAAACGCCCCACCGTACGCCGTACCGCACCATACGCTTTCGCCGTACTACCTCAGGGTAGTCCGGCGAGGGGGGTTGAGGGGAGTGTTACGCCTTTTAGTTTTTATGTGTATAAGGTTAGGGACATACATCACAAAAGCGTTAAAAGGGGGAGAGGGTTCAAAAATGCTACTTTTTAATGAGTATACCTTTGCCATTTTTTCCAATTTTTTTTAAATTTCATTTTTTTGCATCAGGTCGGAAGAAAAATCAGTGAAATTTTCAATGAGGAATGCCCGCAAGATTCCTCTGATAAAAATACAATATACGAGGGGAAATTTGGTTACTAGGAAAAGTAGTTAAAGTTTTCCGTGAGGGAAACGACGATATGACGCAATTCCTATTTTCCATGTTTCTCATACATACATATAAGTCGCTTTACAGCACTCCCTCGCGCTCTACGACTCCTAACCTCCACTGCTCTCTTTCAAACCACAAATCGTGGGGGATTGAGTACCTTAACATTTCCGCTTCAATCCCTTCCCTCCAACCTTTCATTGGGCGCCCTCTGCGTCTTCTCCCAGGAGGAACCCAGTCAAGGACCTTCTTCGGCAACCTGTCTCCTGCTATTCTCTGGACATGACCATACCAAATGAGTTGTTTTGTCATAATGTCATGCACGATGGTCTGTTTCTCATTTTATCTAATTTTTACGCTTGTACCCTCAGGATCGGAGCGTTGCCTAGCTACGTCGGGAACCGCACGGAGTGCGCCTTGCTGAGGTTCTCGCTGAACCTGGGGCAGGACTACCACTCCCTGCGGAAGAAGATCCCGGAGGAAGACCTCGTCCACGTGTACCCGTTCGACTCGGAGCGGAAGATGATGAGCACTGTGATCCAGACGGAGCGCGGCTACCGGGTCTTCACGAAGGGGGCTACAGAGGTGATCCTGGCCAAGTGCAGCCGCTTCCACGCCGAGGACAGCGCCGTCAAGCCCATGACCGAGAAGGACCTCAAGTCCTTTCTCTACAAAGTCAACAACCCCATGGCCAACGACGGGTTGAGGACCATCGCTATCGCCTATCGGGATTTTCGGGATAAGTACGAGTGCTGGGAGGATGAGAAAGAGGTAAGGAACATGCTGGGCATGCAAGCATGCTGCATAGTGTCTGGATCCACCCATATTTATAATTAGGGACAACAAGTTTTAGCTCATTTCAGCAACAACAAATTCGTCATCAGTTTCCCTCCTCAGACTGGTAATTTTATGTTTGAGATAGAAATTTTAATCAGTTTTTTCCTGCAAAATGTAGTCCAGCTGTTCGATTCATTGACGATTTCTGGACTAAGGACAATTTTTCAGACTTTCAAGCATCACATCACGCTGTGAACGTCAGGAAACAAAATCAAAAGTAGATACACTTATTTAAGCCGTTGAATTAAAAATTGTTAAATTCTATCAAGTTTAACTAAGAACAAGACAATTTTAGTAGCTAATTTTTGTGCACAAAAGTTGACCAATATACAGTTTGAAATAAATCAATCTTGTTATGGTTAGGTTATGGCATCATCAAGTTATGGCATATCGAACCCCTTTTTTGCTCATCCCGGTATGTTCCATAAGTTTCCCTTTGCAGACACATTAGCCAGAGACAGTGGCTCCTAATTGCACTGTGTACTGTGTAGTCCGTAGGTTAGGAGTCCTAACACTCAGGCTAGGGTCAAAAACATAAAGGAAAAAAAATTGATCGCTGATTTAACAATTAGATTGTCAAAAAAATATGTCCGACATGTTTCAAATGTACATTTTACAACAGTGGAAAGCTTATTTGATTATGTAGCATCGCGTCCAAGATATTGGACTCCATGCTCACCCGTGTTATACTTTCTTGCTCATCTCGTCCAAGATCTTGGACTCCATGCTCATCGCTAAATTTCTCACTTCTTTACTTGAGCATGGAGTCCAAAAGCAAGTAGACCTCCCTTAGTTTTAAAGTTCATCATGATAGAAAATCGTATATTCGCTTATCTAATTTAACTTGAACTAACCTAGCTTGAACTTACCTAACCTAACCTTACCTAACCTAACCTAACCTAACCTAACCTAACCTAACCTGACCTAACCTAACCTTACCTAACCTAACCTAACCTACCCTAAGCAACGTGAAATTTTTTCGAGAACACATTTTTTCGTCTTTATTTCACAAAAATTGTCTTCATTTTTGTACCCCATGCTAATGTATTGTCAGAGAATACCTGCGTCCCACACTTTTGGACGCTATGCTCACTTCGATTTTTCGAAAAAATTATCCCTAATTAAAGTGAGCATGGAGTCCAAGATCTTGGACGTGATAAGCAACTGAACATTATATAGCTGAGCATGGAGTCCAATATCATGGACGCGATGCTACATTACCGCTTATTTAACCGCGGGGGTGGTTCAATTGTCAAGTTTTATCGTAATATATACATTGAAACATGTCGGACAACTACAAAATTGTTAAATCAGCAACTTCAATTTTTCCTTGATTCTTACTCCACACTTCACTTTTTCCTTGATTCTTACTCCACCTATTTCGTTCCCTCAGGTGGTGAAAGACATGATCCTGCTCTGCATCCTGGGGATCGAGGATCCGATCCGTCCGGAGGCCCCTGTGGCGATCCGGCAGTGCCAGGAGGCGGGGGTGACGGTGCGGATGCTGACCGGGGACAACATCCACACGGCCCACGCCATCGCGGTCAAGTGCGGGATCCTGGAGAAGGACGACAACCACCTCGTCCTCGACAGCAAGACCTTCAACAAGCGGATCCGCGGCGAGCAGGGGGTCATCGACCAGCGGCTCATGGACAAGATCTGGCCCAATCTCCGCGTCCTCGCCCGCTGCTCCTCCAAGGACAAGTACACCCTCGTCAAGGGCATCCTCGAGAGCAACTTCAACAACAAGAGCGAGGTATGGAAGCATAAATCTTTGTTACATTCCTTTTGCGGGTTCATTGTTGATATTGATAGACAAAGTGATACACAATCTGGACACAGGGGACACAAAGCGATTCTGATGGCTGAAACGGGTGGTTGCTATAGACCAAAGGGAAAAATGATGGACCAACAGTAGGGTCTCTCGTGGGTTTCCGTTAGTTACCTCGAGTAGTATTCTACTACCTTCGGTTAGTATTCTTCACCTCCTCTCTCCATTACAACCACCAATAAGATCGTTTTATTTTCAGTTTGCCTATTCTTTGTCGATCGCATTGTCTATCAATTTCAATGATAAGCCCACAGGACCCGCTTTATTCTCCGCCCTAAATTTTATTGCAAAGTTTCAAGTTTGCAATCTGTCTAAATAGCCGATAATGAATGTATCCTTACTAAAATGAAACCCCTTAAAAGCTAAGAATATGCAATTGTGACAGCTTCGAGGTTTTGCCAAATAAACGCACGACATTCTCATCATTGTTTTTTTACCGGAACAGCTTAAAATTGTTCTTGAGGCGTCTTAGTTTTCAAAATTTTCTTGAGGGATTTGGGTCCTTTCTTTTGAGCTAAAGAAGTGCATTCCAGAAGTTTTTCAGTAAGGAGTGTTTATCTGTGCGCCCCACAAAAATTTCCGGTTCCTCCCTTGTCGGAGAGCACATTAGCAGTCCTCGTCTCCACGAGACGTTTCGTGGGATTTGTCCCAGGAAAATATCTCACTTACGAAATTGAGAAAAACATCGAGTTAGCAATACTAATTACAGTGCCAATTATTGGGGTCTTTGTGGAGTCTTAAGAGCAACTCAGGGAGAATAAGCAGCACTAGTGTTGTTTCGTAAAACGGGGAAAAAGCCCAGAAGTTTCATCCTTACGATTCGAGCTTGGGATATATATCCCATGAAACGTCTCGTGGAGACAAGGCCTTAACTCTGCGGCGTGCCAAATTGGGGTGGGGAGGCAAAATTTCATGAAAAATAACATCTTGAAATTTCACATGAGATATTTCACGAAATTTCAGAAATTTGTAAGATATATTGTAAAGTACCGGCTTCTTTATCATGTTCCGCAAAATGTACAAATTGTGACTTTTTTCTATTTTTGTGTGTTTGAGTGCGGGTTCCCTGGTAAAAATTGGCGATAAGAGTTGCGTTTCAAAATACCATAGGAATTCTTATAGCCGGCTAAAAGAGGCTACAGAAATCATATAGCTGGCTGTAGAATGCGGAGAAAATCATACGGCCGGGCTATACGGAGCGATAAAAATTATGCAGCCGGGCTATAGTTCCTATCGCCGGGCTTTACACTTTATTGCCTGGCTGTTGCTTTTTCGCCATCGATTATAAAAGGCGATAAGAAATTGTGGAAAAATTCGTATGCTTTGGAAATCATTAAGTTTGATAAGGAACCACCTTAATATTTACAAAACACACATTATATTTTCCTTTAGTACATATTTTTTTTCATCAATTAAAATGAGAATAATCCATACAGGATGTGCAAACATTTCAAAATCATGAGTTGAATGACGCTGACTCCGCCAGATTAAATATTAAAGCCTAACACAAAGCGGAGCGGCGACGCACTGGCGCCTACAAACCTAACAGGGATACTTCACGCATTGCGCAACGCGTGAAGTATCCCTGTTAGGTTTGTAGGCGCCAATGCGCGTCTCGCGCTGGCTGCCCGCCTGCCGCATCGCAGCGTGCCACGGCGTTTGAAGCAACTATTTCACAACAGAGGTATTGCACAGTATCATACGAAACTGAAGGCGCTCTAATATATTAGTAATGGCAGGCATCCATCAAAAGTACGGAGCTTTCCTCGCAAAATTAATCAAGATACTACGACCCAAAAAGAGCAGTATTCCAAAAACTCACCAAGCCCTACCAGTCCTAGCACGTAATTAGTAACGTTTAGCATACACTTTATCGCCTGGCTATTGCTTAATCGCCATCGGCTATAAAAGGCTATCAGAAATTGTGTGGCCGGCTATAGAAGCTATTGGAAATCTTACAGCCGGCTTTAGGTCTATGGTATTTTGGACCACAGATTCTACTGCCAATTTTTACCAGGGTTGCATGTTCTAGCCCCTGAAAAATGTGAAATATTTCACAGCCTTGCGAAAAATATGAAATATTTTACAGCCTCGTGAAATTTCATGAAATATTTTAATGACATTTCCAATCTTTCATTTCTTTCTTACATTTCATGCCATCCTGAACTCTTCGAGAAAAGTCTAAAAATTAAGACGTTTCAGCAGCAAACTTTAAACGCCGAGCATGCTATCACACTGAAAAAAAATTCTCGGCGTTTTTACCAAGGTCCGTTGGTACCTTTACCATCTCACTTTTTTTTACCAATTACCGGTAATTTTACCAAGACAGACTGGTAAGCTTACCTAAAAACCGGTATTTTTACCGGTTTTTTTCCAGGTAAGAATACCACTTTTATTGGTAATCAATTCCCGGTAACTTTGCCATTCTATCTCGGTAGTTCTACCACGGTCGATAAAAAATATTGGCGTTTTTACCAAGGTCCAGTAAAATTACCGAGAAAGTCAATAATTTTACCTAGATTTCTCGGTAAAATTACCAATTCCATAAATGTTAATTTTACCAAGAAAAAACTGGGATCAAATAGAACCCTAAATTCTTGGTAATTTTACCCTTTTCTTAATAAATACACCGAGATTTTTTTTTTCAGTGCATACGATTATTATCTTATTTTTATAGGTTGTTGCCGTCATCGGCCGAGAAACAAGGGACGCTCTAGTGTTGAAACGATCGGACATCGGCTTCGGCCTCAACATGACCGGCACGGACGTCACCAAAGAATCCTGCGACATAATCCTCCTGGACGACAGTTTCGGCAGCATCCTCAAAGCCCTCCTCTGGGGCAGGAACCTCTACGACAACTTCTGCAAATTCCTCCAGTTCCAAGCCATAATCAGTCTCACCGCGGTCACGCTCACCGTTGCCTGCGCCTTCACCTTCAACAACAGCCCTTTCGCGACCATCCAACTGGTCTACATCAACGTCTCCATGAACCTGATCGCTTCCATGGTCCTCGCCACCGAGAACCCGAACGAGGCCATCATCTACCGGCCGCCGTACGGGCGCAACTACCCGATCATAACCAAGAAGCTGCTTGTAAATATCCTAGGTCATAGCATGTATCAAATGTGTATTCTCTTCGTCTTGGTATATTACGGCGAGCGGATCTTTAAAGTGCCCAGCGGGAGACAGGACTCGGCTGGCGATATCATCCCCACGCAACACTTTACGATTGTATTTAATGTTTTCGCACTTTTCAACCTGTTTAATTTGTTGAACTGCACGAAGATTAATAATCAAAGGAATATTTTCAAGGGTTTCCTCGACAATCATTTCTTGGTTCTCGTGTGGGTGTCCTTGCTGATCGTCCAATTTTTGATAGTGCAGTATGGGCACGATATTTTTCTCACCAAGCGGCTGAATTCGCAGCAATGGCAGTGGTGTTTGGCCATCGCTGCGTCCATATTCGTCTGGCACCAGATTTTACTAACCATTCAGTATTACTATAGGGAGCAATTGAGGGAGGAGCTGGATTACAGGGCGCCGGAGGTTGTTCTGGAGCAAGACAGGGGGAACTACCCCCGTGAGGAGAACAGGCCTAGAGAGATGTGGTCCAACGCTATCAATGAGGCTAGAATAAAGATAAGAATTGTAAAAATGTGGAAGAAGCTGGTTGATAATAAGGATGAAACGGAAGATACACAAGTATCTAAGGTTTGATATTCGATTATTTTCACGGAAATTATATTGAGTATTGAGTACGATGCGATTTTTAGGCTGAAATATTAAGATCTCTCTCGAAATCTCCTTGAGAATGTTTAAGAAAAGTAAAGAAATTTCCACGTGCTGAGGAGCTCTCTGCGAGCTCTCTAGTCACGGAAGTTTCAAGGAGTGTCTTGACATTCTAGCAACTTCTCTCTATTTCAAGGTGATTTTTACAGCCAGCTGTTTAAATTTGATTGGGGCAATATAAAATCTATCACATGAATCTATCCTGCCCCACCTTGAGTTTTTCTAGTTCTTTGTGGAAACCGTAACAACATAAATACACTGATCATAAGGGAAAAAATCTTAACATGATCGTCGTTTTGTGGTAATTTTAACCATATCTTTTGGATGTGCGTTCTTTTTGCCCAATCCTAAATTATATTTCATTGTATCATCAACCCGTAGTCTATTTGACTGCTCTCAATTGGCGATAGGCTTTAAAATCTGCTGAGAAGGCAAATAAGATTTGCAAATTTCTGTATACATTTAATTCGTCGAAAATTAGATAGTCAGATTGGCGGGGTTGAGGTGTACGTAAGAGAAAAAAAAATATTTGTCAACAAGAATTTTTTAAAAAAAACACACACAAGAGCTATTAAACGATTTGGTCAAAGTTAAATTTACCACCGGTTGTTACATAATTATGTAAATCGCCAAAAATACAGTCAAAGTCAAAAACGTGTCACTTAACGATGTTACCATTTGAAGTAATCTTACGACAGAACAGCAACTTCTACCTCAATATATGCTCAAGAGACCTAATCTAGTTTACTTTAAATATGATTCAATCTCTTCGGGTAAAATCCGGAATAAGTTCTAAGTTCAGTATTTAGCCATTCCTTCCATAGAATAAACTTTCAATTTGTACATATAAATACTTTTATAATGGTGTTATTTAGTCTAAGCCATATAAATATTTATTTACATATATTTCGTGAAATTAAAATATCAGTCGTCTTATTTGTTTAAATAAATATTTATTGTACATAGTGTTCAAAAAACGTCTTTTAAATTACCTTTTTTAAATTGCTGAGTGAACCAAAAATCTAATGGAATGTTTTCTGGGATAAATTGAAAGAGCTGAATTGATGCTGAACATAGTATATAGCTTGAAAGATAACTCGTCAGTGAATGTTCATACAACGCTGACACGCCTAGCACCTTAGCGCCTTCAATTTTGCAGATGCAACATGGTCATCCATCAAGCACGAATAGTTGTATCTCGGCGCCGTCATCGACGCGCATCCTTTCCCTCGCTCTATTTTCATGTGGTGATGATTCCGTTCGTCTTAATTATTGTAGTAGTGCTTCAAGGGCACACGTGACCAATACTGCCGAAAGAGACGTGATCGGGCCTCGTCTATATAACTTTTCTCCTGAATCGGAGCGACACCTCATCGGCAGCTTAGACAGGAGTATTTTGAGTTCACGCATCGTGCCATGGTTCCTTCAATTTAGCAGATGCAACATGGACATCCATCAATCATGAATAGTTGTATCTCTGCGCCGCGCAGCCATCAAAGCGTGTTATAAGGTGTCTCTTATTTTTGAAATTTGAGTGAAGTTAAGTTTAAGTTTGATCAAAATATGCTATGATGTTACCAAATCAACAGGTGATCGTTTTGAAAAAAGAAATCAAAAGAAAAAAAATAAATAGCGGTCTCTTTAACGCCTTTTATGGCGCACGTCTAAAAATTAGTATTTTAGCGAGAGTTGAGTCTCTCAGAGATTTTTTTTTCTTTTTTCTTTTTTTAAATGACTACCCCTACAAATCCCAAGGCGGGTCTATTTCTTTTGGGAAGTTACATATTATGGCGGATGAGACATTTTGGAGCCAAGAATCTTAACTTTCCGTTCAAAATAAACCGGGCTCAGAGCACCCATCAAATTCTAAGCGGAGATTATATTTGTAACAGTTAGGCGATGGAACCGTGCTTTTTGGTGAGTTTGTGCAATAGAGGGTAGGTTGAAAAGGAACACAAAGATCGAATGGGCATTATATTGGAGGTCACACTGTCGTATAATTATTGCAGGTCCGTAATTATAATTAGGATGATTGTTGGCACGACACTCGGCGCTCCTTTCCTTTTTAATCTCCGTCTCCTAAAATTTTCTTGTGTTTGGGAAAATCAACACACTGCACTGTGAAAAAAAGATAGGCATAATATCTGGTAATGTTCCCTTCTTTCTTGCTAACGATCGGTGGCGAGGCGTAAATGATCAATTATAGATATTTTCCCTTTGAAGCTATGGTAATAATCGATTATTAAGGTGTTCGTTGCGAACACCCTGTTTATCGATACTTTTCCGTAGGTTTAAATGGCAGATTAATCGATACATCGCAAAGCACGCCATGCCACTGCTGACGATGATACTGAACCTATCAGAGAGAGATGGTCAGCTAATTTCCAGGCAAATAAATGACAAAATCATAGGTACACATTAATTTGAACCCATAATTTCGTTGTCAATGTTTGGTTATCTTTTAAGCATCCAAACGGCATTACGTGGTGAAAGAGTAGATCGTTAGCCAAGAAATTTGCCAAAATGTCTGATTTGACAATTATTGGCCTGCATCGTGACAGATTTATTGCAAGGACTTCATGCCTGGTGCAAGAATATTCGTCGCACTCAAAACCATGTCAAAGAACGGTACCTGTTTTAAAACGCTGCGCCGCGTCACCGCACCGTCCGTGTCGCGCTTTCTTTCCAAAACATACAGTCTTTACTTGTTGACTTTTTTGTCAAGTTCTAGGTCAATGTGTAAAAACATCACATGAAACCATGAATTCGACGACAAATTTCGTATTCCGCCGAAGAAAAATCGGAACTCTGTCAGCCTTGTTGAACTTTTCGGTTCTTTGCGAAAATATTGGTTCAAAGTTTGCCCGTGATGTTGCCAGCTCTCAAGATTAATCATCGTCGGGTAGACAGTGGGTCAGTTGCGCTGGTCACAGAATCGTGTTTCGATGCTTGATTTCTGTAGATCATCTAAAAATAATAGGATCCGTCCAAACAGTATCTTTCTAGGTTGAATACTGACGTTTTGAGTCATAGCGCTTTGAAAAGTTCGATTTATGACATACCATCCACCGCAGGAATGACACGCTTGGTTTCTTCCACCTTGCTTTCATCTGTCGGGGAAACACACATTTGAACTGGTTACTCATAACGTGTAACTTGGATGAAAGCACCGAGAGTGTCGCACTACCGCGGTGGATGACGTCAAAACCCGAATTTTTCAAAGCGCTATATATCTCGGATAATATTAAACGTAGAAAAGTTCCTGTTTGGACGGATCTAAATATTTTCGCGAATCAACAAGAACCAGGCATTAAAATTCAAAATACAATTCTGAGACCAGTGGAACAGACCCATTGAGAAATTCAGCACATCTCACAAAATTAAATTAGCTAGGATGATGCATTACTGACCGATGCAAGCAGATACACTCGGACAAAATGTCTGGCTCATCAATAAAAGCCGCTGTCTGTGTGAGGCAACTATAGTGACTTAGGTTGCGTTTTACAATGAGCCAGAGATCATGGAGGAAAATTTCCCTATTAATAATTCCCTTATTGAATCCCTACTTAAGATGACTGGATTTCTCGTTATCCCAATGGGATTACTCGTCGCTTCTCTGAAGTGAGGGCGTACCTACCTCAAGTTACGCACGAGCTCCAGAAAACATGTACTTATATGCAAAACAGACTCACGTGGAAATTAAGATACGCCCTTAAGCCAGAGGCATGACGAATTGTTACGACAATCAGGGTTCTATCAGAGTAACAGGAATTCCGGTTAATTGTCTCAAATAGAAATCCGAAATGGAAATGTTTGACAGGACGTACGGGTCAGTCCATTTAAGATTTCATTTTGCTGTTACCGCTACTTTTTTCACAAAACCAACCCAGTGGCATGGTGTTTAGTACATCATTCCTCGTGAAAATTTTGCGCTGAATCCGAATCCGTGCTTAAATTGCAGGAGTTTTCTTTTTTTATAGCTCAAATTTGATCTGAAATGCTGAATTTGTCATTACCGTAACCTGTTACCGGTCGAAAGTCTCAACTTTATCGCTGAATTCAAGCAAATATATACAAAGTCACGGGCTCCTGAAATCAAATATGGCTTCAGCATACTTTGAATTGATAATTCTTTCTTTTTAGAGCTATATTTTCCTCTAAGTTTTCGAAAAAATTGGCATCCTGTGCTTGTTACTGGATTTAGTGTCATTACCGTAACCCCTTGTTCTGGAGCAAACTTCGGCTGCTAGGCGACAGCACCAGCTCGAACTTACATTCGTTGATGTTTGTGTTGGAAGGAGGACCCATGGTGAGTAGCTCTCTATTTTTTACTTGATCATAAAGTAATATTCGTTCAATTTACAGTGATGAATTGAGTTTTGTCCAACTCTCAGCTGCCATTACCGTTACCATATAAAAATCCACCAAGGATTGGAGATATCATCAAACCTACTTCATTTATGAACGCATGGCATTAAACCAACCTCAAATATTAAATCTCACCTTCCTACAACAAGCCAATGTCTCCTTTTGGCGCGAAATTTGAATGTTTCTCATTACCGTAACCATCATTACCGTAACTTCCACCCAGACCGTATAGGGTGTACGGTAATGATGCAATAGTTTCGGTTATGACCAACTATCTTTTTTAATGGATCTATAGCGGCCTTTTTTAGTTTTTTAGGAATAATTTCAGTTGCTTGAGATTACCTTGAAATATATCTCTGTCTTTTCCTTGTCCACAGACGTTTTAATTGAAGAAAAATGTCAACCCCATACGAGAAATGGTTTCAGAACTTACAAAAAAAAACTGAAAGTCAGTCAGTTTAAATCAGTACAAGAAAATGGCCCATCAGATACCACCAGCAATACCGTCGCGTCCTGCCCAGAAAGTACATCAATACGATCCGAGATAGTCTTATACTATTTATTGCTAGTTTTGCTAGTTAAAAGTTCTATTTTCTCTTGACTATTATTATGATTATTATGTTTGGAGATCTCACTAGAGATATTTTTGTTTACGTTACCTACATTTCTTCTCAAAGAAATTTTCTCTTTTGCAAATAGGTGGTTAAATAAAGTCCTATTTTTCCTCTATTATAATTATTTTGTTTAGTGATCTCATTAGAGATACTCATTTAATGTGAAATTGGTTGATGTCTACCATTTCTTTGACTATTTATTTATTTCAAATGATTTGGTTTGGTCATTTTTTTCGAATTTTTGTACTGCTTAAATACAATGTTTCTTTAGAAATCAGTGCTTTTTTCCTTCAGCCTTGAGATCCTACTCCATAAGGTCGTCATGCATAACAATAAATCATTACCGTATACTTACAGTCATTACCGCTACTATTTATCATTACCGTAACCGGCTTATTTTTCTTGAAAAAAAATTGGAAAAAAAGCTGTAAATTTACAATTTAGGGGGAAATTACAAAATATAAGTTTAGCTCTTTACAGAAAAGTCTTTACATGCAATCTCATCCTTTTCTCTCAAATGTAGGACAATTTAGA